TATTGTTCGAGATCTATAATCTATATAAGACTAACTTTTGTTGCCCTAGAGTTATACATTAGTTATTGTTGTTCTAGAATTATACTTTAATCTTTGTTGTCCAAGAGCTATGATTTAGCACCTGTTTTTCTAGAACCATAGTTCTTTATGCACTGTGGTTCTAGATCCATACTTTAGACACTGTTGCTCTAAAACTAAACTTTATCAACAGATTCATTCGACTGGAATCGAAGTTTAATAATGAACAACAAGACGACAGCAGCAACAACAAACATTTGACACGTGTATGTACATTAACAAACATTTAATTTTTGAACGTTTCGGAGTATACATATTCCATCTTCAGCAAGCTATATTGAACACGGTAACTTATTAGGTACAAATATTTATAAAGTTTAAACATTTTATAAAAAGTAATTTAAATACACAATAAAAGGATAAAATAAAATAATATATATTTTGGCATCTTGTTTCTCAAATAATCCAGGAAATAAAGAATTTAAGATACAGTTTTTCATTTTTGAAATTGTTAAATTATTTTAAAATTTTGCTTTGATTTAAAGGGATAAAATCACCTGAGAAATCTTAATGTTTCTTATTTAATTCATCGGCTTTTCCTCTGTATGACTTGTTTCTATATTTTCCTTCTTTGGGTTACATATTTTGGACATTTCGTTTCGAAAACTTTCATTTTAAATTGACATGTATTTATGAAAACAAGACATGTTTTAACTATTTATTGTATTCAAAGATATAAAACATATTACTTAAACATTGTATACATTATTAGAAGGAATATTAAAATCCCTTACTTTTCAAAGTAAGCTTATTTTGTTTGCATGATTGTTTGTTTTGAATTTCGCACAAAGCTACACGAGGGCTATTTGCTCTAGCCGTCCCTAATTTAACAGTGTAAGATTAGAGTGAAGTCAGTTCGTCATCACCACCTACCGCCAACTCTTGGGCTGCTCTTTTACCAACGAATAGTGAGATTGGTTCGAATCCCCATCCCACCAAACATGCTCGCCATTTTCGCCGTGGGGTGTGTTATAGTGTGAGGGTTTTATTTATCACAGTTTGGACATTCTGAAAACAGGTTTGTTTATCACATTTTGGACATTCTGAAAAACAGGTTTGTTTATCACATTTTGGAAAGTTTAAACCAAGTTTTGTTTATTACAATTTAGAGTATGTGTTAGAAACGTATGTTTAAATTAATCTTGCGAGATTTTTCTTATACTACAGAAGTTTATTTTTTAGGCTTACATACAAAATAGGCTCGGCATAGCCAGGTGGTTAGGGCGCTATGTATATGTGTGTGTCTAGATTTTAAAGAATTTGACATTTCATACAAATATGGAAATTCAAAATAATTTTTGTAATAAGATCGAGCATGTTCTTACCATGAGGCTTGCATACGGTACAGTTCCGTAAATTGTCCCAACCATTATCTTGTTTGCTTCCATTCGCTTGACGAGCTCTGAGATGCTATCTATCGGTAGCTCCTTTTCGGGAACGTTCATATAGGATGTCAAACTTCCACTAAACCCAGCCATGATGGTAACAACAAAAATCCAATAAAATGCAACTATTACTCGTAATGAGTTTGTAACCGGAAGCTGCTGACCGCCATCTGTTGGGTAAAGTATAGTCTCAAATTCTTTATCACAATTTGGACAGTCTGAAACCAGGTTTCTTTTGTCATAGTTTGAAAAGTTTAAACTACGTTTTGTTTATCACTGTTTGGACAGTCTGAAACTATGGTTTCTTTACCATATTTTTGAGATTCTGAATCCAGGTTTATTTACCACAGCTTTGACAGTCTGAAACCAGGTTTCTTTACCACAGTTTTGACAGTCTGAAATTGGGATGTGGTATACTTTCATGTATGTGGGTATACCTGTAGAGGTGTATATATGTGGTATACTTTCATGTATGTGGGTATACCTGTAGAGGTGTATATATGTGGCATACTTTCATGTATGTGGGTATACTTGTAGAGGTGTATATCAGTGGTATACTTTCATGATATACACCTCTACAGGTATACCACATATATACACCTCTACAGGTATACCCACATACATGAAAGTATACTACATATATAGACCTATACGAGTACACCCACATACACGCAGAAGTAAACACTTGTATGCATACACACATACACCTAGAAGTATACATACTTTTTAAATCTAAATAGCAGTCACACTGTTTGCCTGTAATCGTACGTTGATCAAGATAGATCAAAGTTTTCTCTGATCATTCCAAAACAACTCACACAAAAATAATAACTACTTCGTAAAATATAACAATATACCATAATTATAAATATGAAGTGAGACTCACTAAGTAGAAATGTTATTTCGTAACAATAAAACCTTTTTTGTAGCTTTGCATTGTCGGAGAGATTTGTTTAATTTTGTAAATCACAATAATAATCTCTTCTTGTTGGACAATTAAAACAATTGTGAAAAAAGTTGAGTTATAATGTTTTAACTTATCTGAATTATTTTAAAAGGTTATGCTGACTTATATACTAGAATTTATCAATTAGGTGGATATAGAAAATCATTTTTTTTTCTCGCGTGTTGTTCATATCCCATTATTTTAGTATTATTCCATTTTATTTTATGGTCGTCTAATCTAGCATGATGGCCTTCTGCATACAGATCAATGTTATAAATTCTTGTATGCCTATTATATTCCTGAATTCTAACATTCTTGGACTTTTATTTCTCCAATGTGTTCGAGTCCATATTCACAAGGGATGCTGTAAGTGGTGTTTTTTTTTGTTTTTTTTTTCCTTCTGAGCATGTTAATTCGGGAAGCTACACAACCCTGTGCCCTTCCTTTCTTTACCCTGCTCGAGTTTTGATTTACAGTCGAGATATTTAGCCGTATATTTAGGTTTCCTATAAACTCGTATGGTATATGAATTATGTGTCTTGGTAAATATCAGTCATAGAATGGTGATTTGATGTATTTTTCTTTTATTGTCATCGTGAATTGTACTCGGGATGTTTTCTGTTCAAGTGGGTCACGAATTCTCGAATCTCTTCTGTGGCGTGTGACCGTATTACGAATGTATTGTCAACATATATGACCTACATCTAGACTGTAGTGTGTGACCGTATTACGAATGTATTGTCAACATATATGAGCCACATCTAGACTGTAGTTTGTGACCGTATTGCAAACGTATTGTCAACATATATGACCCACATCTAGACTGTAGTGTGTGACCGTATTACAAACGTATTGTCAACATATATGACCCACATCTAGACTGTAGTGTGTGACCATGTTACAAACGTATTGTCAACATATATAAGCCACGTCTAGACTGTAGTGTGTGACCGTATTACGAATGTATTGTCAACATATATGACCCACATCTAGAGTGTAGTGTGTGACCGTATTACAAACGTATTGTCAACATATATGACCCACATCTAGACTGTAGTGTGTGACCGTGTTACAAACGTATTGTCAACATATATAAGCCACATCTAGACTGTAGTGTGTGACCGTATTACAAACGTATTGTCAACATATATGACCACATCTAGACTGTAGTTTGTGACCGTATTACAAACGTATTGTCAACATATGTGACCCACATCTAGACTGTAGTGTGTGACCGTATTACGAATGTATTGTCAACATATGTGACCCACATCTAGACTGTAGTGTGTGACCGTATTACGAATGTATTGTCAACATATATAAGCCACATCTAGACTGTAGTGTGTGATCGTCTTACAAACGTATTGTCAACATATGTAACCCACATCTAGACTGTAGTGTGTGACCGTATTACGAATGTATTGTCAACATATGTGACCCACATCTAGACTGTAGTGTGTGACCGTATTACGAATGTATTGTCAACATATATAAGCAACATCTAGACTGTAGTGTGTGACCGTATTACAAACGTATTGTCAACATATATGACCACATCTAGACTGTAGTGCGTGACCGTATTACGAATGTATTGTCAACATATATCAGCCACATCTAGACTGTAGTGTGTGACCGTATTACGAATGTATTGTCAGCATATATGACCCACATCTAGACTGTAGTGTGTGACCGTATAACGAACGTATTGTCAACATATATCAGCCACATCTAGACTGTAGTGTGTGACCGTATTACGAATGTATTGTCAACATATATGACCCACATCTAGACTGTAGTGTGTGACCGTATAACGAACGTATTGTCAATATATATGAGCCACATCTAGACTGTAGTGTGTGACCGTATTACGAATGTATTGTCAACATATATCAGCCACATCTAGACTGTAGTGTGTGACCGTATTACGAATGTATTGTCAACATACATAAGCCACATTTAGAGACACAATGGCTGTTTTATTAAATTTGAAATGTTCCGTGTAGAGTTTACCGAGTCCTGGTGAGCCCAAAGCTGGGTCTTCTTCTTATTGGTTATCTTCAAGTTGAAGATAGATTGTGTTAACACAAGAAGTTGCAAGTTCTATTATCATTTGGGTGCGTTCCTTGAGAGTTCTTTCATTTTCAAGCTATTGGTGGAGAATCTGTAGTATTAATGATTAGACTCAAGTAATCATATATGCTACTAACGAAGGCAATAATAAAATAATTATTCTATGCTATCAATAATATCTTCCTTTGTCACATTGTCTAGCTTTCTAATCTTCGTATGTTCATTTAAGCATTTAACATTATGACAAAAACGTTAGTTGTTTTTGTATTTTATAATTAATTAAATGTATTTTACTACTAACAAATTAGTGCTACTTTTCTTTCATTCATTTAACACAATTTATTAACATTTTCTTTTAAGTAACTAAACGTGTTATTAAATCTGTAATCCACAAATGTTGACATTATTCTGCAGTCCATAAGAAAGTACTCAAAACCAGTTTCACGTCTAAGAACTATTTTGTTTGAAGCTAACCCGAATTTCACAGAATTGACGATCAAATAAACAATGTTTCAGAGTGCAACAAAAGGAAATATGTACACGATTGGCAAACAGATCAGCAAAAATGAAGCAGAGACGCTGGTCAGAACAGTGGACGCAGGAGTTATCCGAGCAATGCAGAAATCCTTCGCTTTTGTGTGCCCTCGAGCTTCTATGGAAGGTAGTCTGGCCAGTCTTGGAATACGAAATTATCACTTTGGCGAAGAACAGTTTTACAAAATGTTCTACAGTTTTGCTGTTCCTAACGGCTCTCCCATGAAGGAAGCTTTTGGTCAAATGTATGTAATAATTAACACTTTTAATTGATGCTTATATATTTCCAATTGTAATCTACGGGCTGGTGTCACAGTTTTCAAAATAATCAGTTCGTTTTCATAGATTACTTTATTTATTAAAATAAAAAAGACAAAATCTGCCACTTTAAAAGATGTATGCTTAAAAGTGGTTAATAGAACCTTCTGAACTTCTCAAGTAGTTTATCACTAAACATGAATAATGACTCTGCTAGTAACTTTTACAAATTATATAATGCTCACATTAGTTCAAGGACTACTTGAATAACCACTCTGATAATGACGTTAACATTATGTTATGCATGAAGAAATGTTAACATTCCTAAATGAAATTTTAAGATTATTCTTAATATGACGAAATCATAAATGCATTCCCATATGAAATGTTCATATTATTGCTTAACTCATTAATATTACAAATTTTTGAGAGAACTGTATTAACTCTGAAACTCTAAAGACCTAATAGTAGTTTAATTGTCCTTACAGAATTACTAGACTAAACGAGATGGGAATAATAATGAAGTTGTACAAAGACGTGTTAGCTGAGCGCCAAAGAAAACAGAAGTTTCTGAGAAAAACCAACGTCACCATTGATCTAGAAACAGTAGAAACAGAAGGAGAACGAGGACCGCGTCCTTTACATCTTCAAGAATTACTGAGTGCTTTCACCGTTTTTGCTATTGGGCAAACCATGGCTATGTTGGTGTTCTTTTCTGAATTGGGATATTATGGTTGCGACATGAATACATATTTTCGCTGCTAAAGATCATAAAATCCAATATCTATATTGTATTTTCTCTACCATTGTTATTGATAGAAAATTTCCCCATCATGTTTGCACCACCAGTGTTTGTGGTAGAGTTTAGATATAAAGCACAATATTAACGATTCTGTTGTAAATCAGAGACGGGAACTACAGGTGTAAAAATACACCTTGATGTAATCAGAATTACTGTATTCTTAGCCTGAATGTATTTCACAGAGTTAGTCTATCTTAAAAATGGAATTGGTAGCCTATCAATAAAATATAAATATGTATTTACACTATTTATGCCTGTTTTAGACCAACAAGTATATCGGTTGAACAATAACAATGTTTACAATGCTTGGAAGATGCCAGTTCAACAATAATACTAATTACACTGTTATCATTTCTCTTATCTCTGGAAACGTATCATTTCAACAATAATATTGATAAATAATAGCAGTGTAATTGATAAATAATAGCAGTGTAATTAATATTATTGTTGAACTGATACGTTTCCACAGATAATTATCTCTGGAAACATATCAGTTTAACAATAATACT